TAAAAACATAAAATAAATAAATAAAATAAAAAACTAAACTGAAACTGAGCTGAGTCAAGCAGGTGGACCAATCCCTCACTGTTCCCCCTTTTCTATAATTTTTTTGTTTTTAATTTACTTCAGACTGACTAGAACTAAACTCTGTTGACATCAGTAAGCATATCATCCGAAGGATAGGCTCAAGCTAGACTCAAGACTCAGAGTTTGTGGTATTTCGTGTCGTATTCGTATCAAACATCGTGAATATTAGCCAATTCACACGACGCCAGCCGATGCTAAGACGATTCATACATCTTCATAATAATCAAGAATATAAAAATACTGGCATTTCAGAATAAATGGCAGAAAAATCAACCAACGAGAATCATAAACGCAAAACTGTGGGCATGCTGAAAATTAATGATCATAAATATTGTAAAAGTAACATAATAATTATATTTGTAAAGTGCTAAGAAACATTACCGATATTTTAAGCGGTATATAAACCCAGAATATTTTTGATATTAACACTAATTTTATATACAGTACACGTCGAAAGTCTCCGCAACACGATTTACACGATTCAAAATTTACACGATTCGACTGCTCGCGGGAATCGTGTAACCATTTATTTTACACGATTCGTTTTTTGCCAATGAAGCGAAATTTGAATCGTGTAAACGTGTAATCGTGTAAATTTACACGATTCCTCAATTCAGGTCGAATCGTGTAATCGTGTAATCTGCCCGCCGAAAATCTCCGCAACACGATTACACGATTCAAAATTTACACGATTCGATTGCTCGCTGGAATTGTGTTACAATTTATTTTCAGTGGTGATGGTGAGCAGGTTAAGGACGTCTAGTTCAGTAAAAGCAAGAAGTTACTTCTTGGTTGAACGAGGACAACGTGGACGATACGAGGGGATAGCGAAGATTACGCTTTCTTTCTCTTGTATATATTTTTAATTTCAGTGTCTTGTCTCTAGTTTTATTATAGAATGTTTGAAAGTTAAAAAAATCAGTCCACTTCCCGAAAAAAGAAAAAAGCGATGAACGACGAAGGAAGGGGGGAATTTTGTTATTCCTAAGTTGTAAATAAGTAAAAATGATTACAAAATGTAAAGGAGGGCTAACATAATTAAGTATGTTGTGATACTCTTACATTACAAGGCTGTACCAATTAGAATAACGTTCACCAGCTCATTCGTTACTATGAATATCGTTATACTTTTTTTTATTCAATCATTATCCATTTTACAAACCTGGTTTGTAAAAACGCGTCATATGACGCACGAAAACCAAGGTTTGTCGACAAACCTCCTTTGTGAATTCGGGCCTTAGACTTTGATCACTTATTGCTTTGTTAGCGTTCCTCATTTTCGTAAATTACCTTTTACAACATTGCATTATTCAGCTATATGTATAAAGAGCTACGGTCAAGGCTTAAGGGCACACTTCCTGTCACATACAAAAGAAGCTTACTGTGAATGTGGCCTGCCATTGACCCTCGCCGGGGACAAAGGCCGTTGCCCTAGCTACAGGCAGAGATCCTTACATAAATCTATTGTTCAGGGGGTTCCCCTTGAACATAGGATCCCCCTGAACAATAGGTATTACATGTACGTAAGTATGTAAGCCACTGCTACAGAGTGTAGGGAACAGTTGCAAGCCGAGAATGAATAGAATAAGTGAATGGCCAACTGTCTTTGAGTTACGTTTAGCTAGCGGCACAGTGTCCCCCACTTTTTCAAGTTTCCCCAAAGTGCCCCTTTGTATGTAGGAAAAGTACCTATTTTACTTTGAAAAGTGTCCCTATTAATTTGTAAAAGTGCCCCTTCCCCTTTTCAACTCTGATAAGTGCTCCTTTTCTTTTGACACACACCCCTTTTAATCTCTAGTAAGTATCCCTCTTTAAGTACGAGAAGTGCCCCTCTTCAGTTTTGATAAATGCCCCCATCAACACCGATAAATGACCCTATTAAAATCTGATCGGTGCCCCTTTTCTTTCAACTAAAGCTTTTTTTATCTCTCTCTCTCTCACTCTCTCTCTTTCTTTCAATATCTTTCCATTCCCCCATATCTTTCTCGCCTCTCTTTCCCTCATTATGTTCCCCTCTTACCTTATTAATTTGTCTCTTTTCCTCTCCGTTTCATAGCCTTCTCATTTCTGTTAATTTTACTAGGTTTTGCCCTTCTTTTTTTTATCACTCTATTTCACTCTTTCTTTTCTTCCGGTCAACTTTTTAGTTTTCCCTTTTTTCTCTCTTTTTTTCTGTTTATCTTTATCGTGCCTTTCAACCCTCATTTTCCTTTTATATGTTCCCTTCTCCTCGTAGCTATCTTATTTCCTTTACTATTTCATCTATCATGTCTTCCTGTTTCTGACGTTTTCCTACCTTGTCTCACGGATTAGTATACGATACATGTTAGTGGAAAGTGCTGAGGTTTATACACGAATATAAAGTACAGTAATTAACTGATGTACACTGAAGGTAAGTTGTGTATAAAGCAATTGGTGTAAGCAGGATAAGATTTAACGATTGTTGCAGCTTGTCACATCGTTCTACCAATGCCCTTATAACCCTAATAACTATTTACACGATTACACGATTCAGAGCGACATTCTTCAATCGTGTAAATTTACACGATTACACAGTTACACGATTGTTACATCTGGTCGAATCATCCGACCAATGCACTTAACTATTTACACGATTACACGATTCAGAGCGACATTCTTCAATCGTGTAAATTTACACGATTACACAGTTACACGATTCAGGTGAATCGTGTAAACCGTGTAATCCTAAAAATAAATCGTGTAATCGTGTTGCGGAGATTTTCGGCGTGTACTGTAAAGCAAGCATGAAGGGGTGGATACAATTTTTGTTGTAATGGATTGACAAATATTTATGACTTGTTGATTCTGACTTACAAATAATATATTATCATAATGATTGCAATATCACATGTTATTTGGAAGACAATGATAGAACTAAGCATCTATGTCAAAGAAAGATTTTAATTTTTTTTAACCCTAACTACTCGCTATTCTTACTACAATTTATAATCATTCTTCCTTATTGCAACATAATATATTGCGATAAGGGAGAGCGAGACAATATAAGGGGTGACTCGTCATTTGTTGATGACCTGAAATTTGCTATTGAGTGGCGAAAGTAATTACACATACATGTAAAGTGCTCTAATTGATGCATATTACGTGATAAGAAACCATAAAATGTATAAAACATTCTTGTATATAACAATATGATTCGCAAATTACATTATTATCTTAACCTCGAGAAAATATTTGCAAAGATATTATTATTTGAACTGACATTAATGATTTAAATCGATTATGAATATAGTACTTTGACTTGCTATGCCGTGAATGTAATATGAATAAATGCATTGAATTAAAAGCATTGCAATTCAAAGTTTCATTTACTTTCTTTCCTTATTTTCTTTTTCTTTTCTTAATCTATGGTAAATGTAACATATGTTAAGACAATGCACTAAATTAATTTCACTTCAAGTTTTATTTAGTTTCTGTATTTTCCTTTTCGTTCTTTTGCGTTATATGTCGTAAATGTATCATATCTAAATATATCGAATTGAATTAATTTTAGTTATTGCACGCATTCAGGAGATACCGATCATGTATTTTGTTTACGTGTACACACCACTCTTTTTTTGTATAGCAGAAACGTTTATAGCCTATACCGCAGTTTTAAAAACAAAACGTATTTACAAAATCATATTTTTAATTTTATTTTGTACGTGCCATGATGATGCTTTCATTTCGTCAGTTCCCATTGGGAAAGATAATGTTCTTGTTACTCTCAATGCTGTTCGACAAGACTGGATGATATTGCCATGATTGCCATTTTCAATGACATGTACAGTATGATATTGATTTTTTTTTTACTACGGCTCTATCATATATCATTAATATAACACTATCTTGAAAAATCAAATGTGTCTATTCGTAACATAAATCAATTTTTTTTAAATAGAAATTGATTAAGGTTCATTTGCCCAGGGCATATTTCTCCTTGTTCTGTTTTCATCAGCTTAACCTAACATTGTGTGTGAATGCAATGAGAGGAAGGACGAACAATGTATATAACATCAGATTACAAGAATAAAACAACAATAATAGAGAAAGAGAAAGAGAGACAGGGGGGGGGGAGGAGAGGATAACATTTTCAGGATGGTAGGGACAGAAAGCGAAAGGGAAAAGGCGATATCTTAACAACAACAAAAAACACGATAATTCAAGTAAAAGTAGATGAAGGGCAGCATAATAATGAGTTGTGAGTGAGACTGATATTAAACGTGATACGTGTGTATAGTAGGACGATAGAGACATATATATATAGAGAGAGAGAGAGAGGGGGGGGGGCGTTCAAGCCCACTTTCTTCAATTTATTGAAGCCCCACCTCTCCCCCACACTCAAGAATGATTATAAATGAATTCAAGAGAGACACATGTTTGAAACGACAATTTAAAGAACCTCTCCCCCATCCCCCTCCAACAAAGTAACACCAAATGTATAACCAGTCTGAAAAAGTATTGCTTGCTTAAAGGTATTACAATGTTTTGGTCTGGGGCCATGAATTTGGTTCAAATGAACATATTGGAACCATATCCGATATAATAATATTTAATAATAGTTGTCGCGGTTGAAATCGAGTCTAAAGTGATGAAAGTGTAAAGAATAAACTCTTTATGTTGTATAGCGCCTTCTCAAGACTGACATTACTTTAGCCTTAAAACAATGCTGCTTTTTTATACTACAATCGACCGATTTGCTATTCTCGTTTGGAAGTTATACATCAGAACTGCATATTCTAAGATTTTCATGGTCGCAGCTACAATGGAATGGCCTTACGCGCCATTTGAAATATTTGAAATTGACCGGGAGCACCGGTACGCATCGTACTCTCAATACGACGTCGTGTAGCCATCGTGTAGCCTTCGTGTGGCCTGCGGGTAAACTACTTAACTACGAGATGGTTGCTACAGCAATCACCGAGTTGAAGGACCGCAATGGCTCCTCGCTGCAAGCAATAAAGAAGTATATCGCTACAAATTTACATCTTCGTGTTGCCTTCGTGTGTGGTTCGGGCGCTATCGTATGACCGTATGTAGGCATCGTAGTTGCTTCGGCTGTTGATCGGCTGCTGACCAGGTTTCCAGCCATCTTCGTGCGGAATTCTAAATTCCATATTCGTGTGTCCATCTGGAGTCAACTTCGGGACAATGTGACGCGGGCATAATAACAAAAATTATCTTTCAATAATTATCTTTTTTTAAAACAGAGAGCCCTTTCTTGTTGTGTTTCATAATGAAACACGATCGTAAAGACGTTCAAGGAATCAACTTCAATACCAATATCCTTTAATACATTCCATAAAAATCATGTTCGGATTACATGATAGTCATTGCAATGCTCGTGTATTCCGATATATGATGGGAAAGGCTATTGCAATTGACTTGTTTGGTTTATTTATCGCCAGTCCTTGCAAACGTACTATGGCTCAAAAGCTTGAGCTTCTACAGTGTACTTCTTTTTTTCCTCGTAATAATGACACAGCGTTCTGTTATTGATAGGTAAAGAAAGTAAACGTATGAAAAGTAATTAGCGTTTACATTTAGAAAAATAGAACTACAGGCAAAACAAAAATCAGCACAGAATTTTCCAACTTTGTGTAGTACTCAACTTCTTAGACCATCTCCATTTCTCTCTTCGTACAACGTTACCTGTATAGACTAAACTGGAATTATTTGTTGTTATTAGTACAAAACAGTACAATGTATATATAATGATCTTTGTACTTTGTATCTAGAAATCCCACGTTAATTACTAGTCAAATATTGAATTGCAACACGTGCAAATTATGCATATGATTATATAGTAAAAATGACTGCTATAAGAGACATAGCTGTTTTTATACGCTCAAGGGGAGGTTACGTGATCGTGATATCGATAGCATAATCATGTAACCCCCCCCCCCCCCCCGCCCCCTTGAGCGTATAAAAACAACTATGCCTCGAATATTAAAGCAGTCATTATAACTTTTATATAGGCTACCGAAAAGGGTCATAGAATATATGTGCGACTTACCAATCTTGGTAACCAAGTTTTTTACGCTATCGAGACGTAGTCTTAATAGGGTGTCTGATCGCACACCACTCGAGTTTGTGTGCTAAACTCCTCCCCATTGAGATTGCACGCATATACGTAAAATGACAAAAAAAACGGTCAATAGTCTTTTGAAAAGTGCCCTGGGGCTTTTTTTCAAAAGAGTATTGACCGGTTTTGGGGTTTTACGGGAATGGCTAAATTGACGACTCCAATTTCGACCAATCAGATGGTTGGATTTCTAAAGTGAGGTATATAATATTTGATATGACACTTGCTATTTGATATGATATTTCCTTATCAGGCGTATGATCGAAAAAAAGATTTTAATAACTAGTACAGTGAAATGCAGTATTTTCTTGATTTGATTTTGTTCTGGCTCTGGCATCATATCCTTACAGGATGTTCAGTTAATAAATATTAGATAACCAATAATGGCAGTAAGAGGCTGTGATGACCTCCCCCCCCCCCCCCCCTTCAAAAGTGGCATTTGTCGCTAATTTATGGACTTGTGGATTTCCCATACGGGGGGATATTACATGAACGTAACAAACTCGACGGGGGGGGGGGGGGGGATTGTCTGGGAAGAATAATTAGGAGAAAGGTATTTCTAATGATTATTTGTGTTTTGTTGCAATATGAAATTTATTTATGAATGTCAAATTTAAATTTTCTCATGAAGTTGGATAATACAGCCAGCCTTTATTATACGAATAGGTGTAGATTTCGTTATTGGAAACTGGGTGTGACATGGGCTTGATACTAAAATAACCCGTGTAGCTAGGTCGCACCATTTGAAGGACTTGTTCAGTCTCTCTATACGATTGCTATAAGCATGCATCGGTGACCTGATTGACTGATCTGATTTGGTTTGTTCGTCGCGTTTTCTAGATTTCAAATCAACATGGTTGCTGGTTGCGGGCCAAAGATTGCAAAGTATTTCCTGTTCATCTTAAACTTCTGTATTTGGGTGAGTTGGCTTTATTACACGTATACGTGTCTAAGCTTATTTGAAATATTGATTTTAATGTGTACCCACATTAAGGCAAATGTTATATTCCATTCATTACCTTGTGTGTAGACGCGTTTTTAATTTTCGTTGTATTGTTGTATCTTCGTTGTATCTTCGTGTAAAAATAATGCCACTTTGACACTTTAAAGAGTTCAGACGAAAATGTACACAGTTTAGATTGAAAAATGATATTCTCATCATTTTATCCCCTCAAAATTTTGCCCTGAATTTGAAAATAGATTTTCCCCTTTTGAAAAATCAAGGCCCCTGAAATCTGTGTGTATCCGTATTTTTTGAGAACGCATAATATCGTTGTGTGTAGTCGCTGCGAAATCCAAGAGCACTTTCGTGAAGTATAAGTAATTCATTAGACATGGCATATGGCACCAAGTCCAATACACAATGGAACGGTGGTGGACTGTTCAGAATTTGAAGTTGTGAATAAATTTGTGGCGTAGAGCTGAACATAGTGTCAGCAGCTATGCATGGGAGCCATTAAGTATGATAAATAATAGTTAAATATTCCCGCTTAAGCTCATGGAGCACCATGAACCTAATCTATGATAATACACATGACATTGAATATTCTCTTATAGGCCAACTACCCCCGGGCAACTACCCCCTAGGATAGTTGACCGGGGGTAGTTGTCCTTGAGGATGGTTGTCGTAGGGGGCAGTTGTGTGGGGGTAGTTGTCCGGGGTTAGTTGTCCTAGGGGTAGTTGTCTGGGGGTTAGTTGTCCGGCGGGGTAATTGTGTTGGAGGGTGTGGTTGTCCGAGGGGGTAGTTGTCTGGGGGTAGCGTCCCGGGGGTAGTTGTGCTAGTGGGGGTAGTTGTCCTAGAGAGTGGTTATCCTAGGGGTGGTTATCCGGGGTGGTTGTCCAGGGGGTAGGTGTCCTACAACCCAAACCAACAAACAAACCGACAATGACTAGACAATGACTTGAAATTAAGTTTAAAAATGCCCGAAATTCGGGCATTTTAAAACTTTGTTTTCACGAAGTGACGGTAGTGAAAAAAAATTGCATTCACTTTGCGTTACGATTTTCCTCACTACCGTCACTTCGTGAAAACAAGGACGGAATGTTTCAAATTTTTCGCTAACAAGTTGATAAGTGTGTATGGTGATTGTTATTTTTGTTTGTGTTTTGTTTATGTATTTGTTCTTTTATTAAATTTGAATCGCAGCTTTGTGGTCTAGTCTTGATCGGTGTAGGGGCTTACGTGACGGTCAATTACAATGACTACCAGGACCTGTTCGCCGACGACACGATGCTAACCGTCTCATGGACCGCCATTAGTATCGGTCTCTTCATCTTCGTCGTCGGATTCTCGGGATGTTGCGGCACCCTGAAAGAAAGCTCGTGTCTTCTTAAACTGGTAAGGAAGACGAGATGTGGATGATGAAAGTGATGATGATGATGATGATGATGATGTTAATAGTGATGATGATGATGATGATGATGATGATGATGTTAATAGTGATGATGATGATGATGATGACGATGATGTTAATAGTGATGATGATGATGATGATGATGATGGTGATGACGATGATGTTAATAGTGATGATGATGATGATGATGGTGGTGATGATGATGATGATGTTGATTATGGTGATGATGGTGATGATGATGTTCATAATAATCATGATGATGATAGGGATAATGGTGCTGATGATGAAGACGATGATGATAATAATCATGATGATGATGATGGTGATGATGGTGATAATGATGATAATAATAATTATGATGATGATGGTGATAATGGTGAAGATAATGATAATAATAATAATCATGATGATGATGATGGTGATGATGGTGATTATGATGGTGATGAGGATGATGCTAATGATGATGTTAATCATCATGATGATGATGGTGATGATGGTGATAATGAAAGTGATGATAATGATATGGTTTGGGTAGAAATGAATAGACCTATTGCAATTTTGAATGTACACAATACTAAAATTACGAATCAATATGTTTCTTTTAGTCAAATAATGTATAATACAGTCCCTTTAAATGTTGTTAATGTTGTCGCACTTACCAAGAACAATTTCTTTAAATTAACAAACTTCTTTCTGCAGTATTTTATCTTTTTGCTACTGATCGTACTGGCGGAAAGCTCTTTGGGAATCATGACATTTATTTTCAGTGGTGACGTAAGCATTTCACTCATTTGTTTTGATAGGCCTCTAAATATAATGTGTATAACGTGTGTCCAATCCATATTAATTAATATCGATATTTGTAAGGTTTGAAAGGTTTGTTGGAACTATTCTGTGCCATCTATTTGTTATTCTGTTTAACCTACCAACATCTTCACGGCAGCTACTATAAAGTTGTTGATACGTACATGTATTTGTTTAGGCACATTCATTTTCATTGTTCTTAATAACATATTCAAGCAGCCTGCTTATCGTGTGTTGGAAGATATTTATACTAAAGAAGTAACATTTAAAAAAGTGATTTGCATGCTAAGTTTATATTATTGGTCCAATAAAAAGGGATAATAACAATATGTTGCCAAGTATTTTTATGATCCATTTCTATCAATCCATATGCTGATAAGAATGTTTCCGTATGAGTGCAATTACACATTGAACCCTATTTAGTTTTATTTATATGTCAAAGGTCGTCAGCTACGACGAGAAAGATGGGAACGGAGGTGGGTGATGGGGGGGGGGGGGGGTGTGAACATTTACCAAATTAGGAAATTGCGTGGTTTATCCATGGTCGGCAGATATCTCTGTTCTGTCTCTTCTCTCCTATACTCTTCCCCCCTCTCTCTCTTTCTCTCTCTCTCTCTCTCTCTTTCTCCCTCACCCTATCTCTCTCTCTCTCTCTCTCTCTATTCCTCACACCCTCTCTCTTAATCTCTCCCTCTCTCTCTAGATTGCGAACAATATGACGAAGGGCATGCAGAAAGCTATAAATGAGACCTATGGTGTGAAAGATGGTACAACCAAAGCCGTAGATGACGTTCAGGATACGGTAAGAGAATGCAATATGTAAACAATGATTTTACATTGACGATCAGTGCAACAAAAATAGACTCAGGGTCACGTACCTCACCTCTCCTCCCCTCCCCCCTCCCCTCCCCCCTCCCCATCAATCTACCACTTAACAAATGGAGAAAGAAAAACAAGATATCATTATTATTTTTTTCTTCACTTCGTTATTAGTTCTCTAAACGTGTGAAAACAAAAAAGGAAGACAAAAATAGAAGAGGAAAGGATAAAAAAGAAAAACAATCTTTTATTTTTACAATTTTAAAATATGTTCTTTATAATTTTTTTTTTCTTCATATTTGAGGTATTATGTAACAAAGTGAAAATGAACGTTTTCCTCTTGATTTTCCTTTGTCGAATTTTACTCTACCAATCCCTTCAGTTCGAGTGTTGCGGTGCATCTTGGTACAAGGACTACAAGACCTCTCAGCATCTTCAGCCGGGGTTTGCTGTACCCCCATCGTGCTGTAGACATGGTGAAGAATGTACTGGTGGATCCAAGGGAAATCCCGACTACCCAAATCGAGTCTGGACAGATGTAAGTTGATACTTGATTTGACTTGACTTCCGTTTCAATAGACACATAATTATACATTATACATACAACTTTAATATCAGTCATTTTGGTTTCTATTCATCCTATTAAATTAGGCTCATGATCTCAAATGACGTCTTAATGGTTTCTCTATCTTGTAGGGTTGTGTGCATGCCACAAAAGCTACAATAAACAATTATTACCTTGCCATTGGAGGCGCTGCATTTGGTCTTCTCATTTTTGAGGTAAAAACATCTTCTCTGCTTTCGTTTTTTATGACTGTATTTTCGATTTCTTATTCTCTCTTATTACAAAGGAGAGAAATCAACTATTAAGAAATGATTGTATATCTCCGTTTTGGAGTGGATTCCACCATTCTGAGCGAGCATTTCCAACCCATTTACTCCCAACCAAACGAAGTGATGCTTATATTGATGATAATTATTACGAACCCCTCGAATTATGAACATCTATGCACGTACATCAACATGATAGCGGTCGTCAGAAATCGTGCTTTCCATCAGTATATTTGATAATATTTTTAATCATTAATCATAATTCCAACATATTTGTCTATTTGTTAACTTGAATGAATGCTTCTGATTATATTTTAATTAATTTATGTCGAGGGAGCTGTTTATATGAGCAATCCCTTGTAAATATTGAAAGATCGATTTGAATAATAATAATAATAATAATAATAATAATAATAATAACTCTATCTGCGACTTAAGGGGAAGGAAGCGCAATCATCTAAAACTGGCACTTAAGGGCAATGTTCATGGTGGTCACAAGAAAGACCCAATCACTTAGTATTTCGGTCAATAATATCTTCTGGAAATAAATTAATGTTCTGTAGCTTCAAATCCGAATTCGAAGATTAAATGAAGAATATAACTTTTTTTGCCTTCCCTTTAAGTTTTTTAACCATAACTGTAGCTTGCGGAGAATATGTTATAATTCCCCGAAAAGTATCTATTGCTTAAGGGGAATGTTTTCCTCTTTTTTGTTATATTTCCCCGTATGGTCATAATGGGTTACAGGGGAATAATGATCTACAATAATTCCCCCGAAGGGTATGAATGGGTTAAGGGGAATGATTAACAATATCTTTTATATTTCACCATATGGTTATAATGTGTTACAGGGGAATAATGATCTACAATAATTCCCCGTAAGGTTGCAATGCTTTGCAATTAAAAATGGGTTAACCCTTACTGTATTGGGTTATTCTGATGTGGGGGGGGGGGGGGGGGGAGAGGGGCTGGGAGCTGAGCTGATCTCTCATGTAAGTAATGGTAAAAAATTGATAAATGTATTTTTATTTGTTCAAAATAGATTATTTTACCGAATCTTTGCCGTCGATATATTATAAGACAAATGTTTTTATACAACCTATGAAATATATTCATTCCTTAATCAAGAATCATGAAAAAAGTAAATTTATGGAATTTTTACCATAAATTAAATGGGAGATCAGCTCGCAAGTGTCGTCACAAATTGCCAATTTATCTTTGATCGATTACAACTTTAGAAATTCATAACTTTGTTATCCTTTATCGGATTTTCGTCAAACCTTCACTAATTATTTTCTCTATTTTTTCTGCTTTTATTCAAACCAAATTAATATCAGGGTGGACTTCCCCTTTGACCTTTTATTTGCCAAGTTCGCCGATCGGCACAAATAATATGAACCAATTAATAGAAGGATTTGCACTGTGCCTTACAATAGCTTTGTGTAATAACCCATTTCCGGTCTTCATTGTCTACACAAGAAGCTTTTTATCACAGGTATATTGTAGTTTTATACTGGAAAATGTAAAATAAGTCTTGTAGCCTTTGGTATAACTACCAGTTGAAAAATACAACTTGGCACAGGGCTATAATTTGCGTGGGTTATAGAGGGTTAAACAGCATATAATTAATTCATTTTAAATCAGTAAAAGCAAAAATAATCATACGAATTTTGGTAGGCAACTCCGCGTAACAATAAATTATGCTAGAAAACAGGTTATTTTTAAATTAATGAGTTTCATTATATATATCTCTGTCTTGGATCATAGACCTGTCAAATCAGTGTAAAGAACCATCTCAATAATTTTACACGCACAAACTAATAACAAGGTGAAATTATCAAATTATGGAATAACTAATATGTGCATAAGTATTCCCCCTGCCATTAAGAGTTATTAATCGGCCGTCCTAAATGATATTAGGAAAATAAAAGTTTGCGAGACTTATCGCTTCGGTATGTAGAGGTTTACGCCCAGCGTAGTCGTATGAAGCGTCGAACCGCGCGATGTCGATCCTTGGAGGGCGTGGCTGGCGTCCCTACTGATACACGACGACGTGGACGACATCTGACGCGATGACTGATGGGTAGCTTGAGCCTTGCATAATAATGACGCCGGAGAGATTCGCGACGACCTTCCCGGAAGGATCTCTGAAGTTGCCTCTCGACGAAAACTCTGCACCCGCAGTAAAGCTTTACATTCCTGGTAATCCAGGAAGTCCGTATCATTCCCAGTAATTATTGTAGTCCTAGTTATCCTATTTATCCCAGTTATCCGCCATCTAAGATACAATAATTATCCAAATAGCTGCCCAATCAATATATCCTAGATCATATAGCTCCGTTTAGTCTCAGAGCCCTTTATACACAGTAAAGGGCTCTGTTTAGTCTCATCGGGCACTGCCCTCTAGAGTCGGCCACTCGTAGCATAGTGTAATATTCTACGGGCTTCCACAAAAAAAATCATAACCGGTTCATTTTTTGGTTAAACAGAAATCACATTCACCCAAACAAACTTTGACACTTGCTCTTTCATTGAAACCCTCATGTCCAAGTTCACCCACCGTAATCTGATCAAAATAGGTCGCCTGCTCGCCATTGCATTAACAACATGTATGAATTAAAGAGACCAATGTTTGGATTGTATTTGCCACAAAACTACACATCCTCCCATCAATCACACGGAGCTGGCAAACATCAACAATCATAGATCAAATTGCACCATTTCGTTTTTCTGTTCTATTCCATACCTTGTAGGGCCCACAAATGTAAAAATCCACCACAAATGTAAAAATACCACAAATGTAAAAAATTGTACCCGCAAATGTCAAAATAACCACAAATGTCATAACATGTCAACCACAAATGTAAAAATAACCACAAATGTAAAACATTTCGCCCACAAGTGTAAAAATTTGTTTAACCACAAATGTACAAACAGTGGCAGAGTGGTCTTGTAGAGAGTTAGCTATCCGAGATAAAGGAATCAATCATACAACGCGATTTATTCAGTTTGTATGATATCAAAACCCTCTTATATAATCGTTGTTTATGTCACCACTTTGAAACTAAATAAACTAATTAACATGTTTATTCCATCAACCCCGCTTTTCCCTCCTCTTCAAGACCACTCTGCCACTTTTAGACAGTTACCTATCCGAGATAAAGGAATCAATCATACAACGCGATTTATTCAGTATGTATGATTTGTATGAAACCAAGATAATGCCTGAAAGTCAGATCAGTATACATTCTCCGCACGACATGGAATACAAATTATTAAATAAAGAGACTTCCTTTATGCAGGCATTAGCAGTGATTTATCACATAAGAAAACAGTTCATCCTACTTTGGAACAACGTCACATGGTCAGTGTTGATCCATATCTATAGCTCCTAATGGCTATACCAATGCTCATTAAACAAGGTTCCAGTACAAAAACTGGACATTTAATATAAGACTAGCTTACTAAAAACAACTAAAATTTCACTTACAGTCTGTTTGGAGAGATTCTACTTTGGCTGGAACGGCAGGATGTCTAAACTGGCATCTTAGCGTTGCTCTCTGGTTAGCTGCCCAGGCCAGCAGTTGGCTAAAAACAACCTTGCTGCCAAATCATACGAAACGAATATGGCCGCGCTAGCATTATGTGCCTTGCCCTAGCCCACTTAACCAGCCAACCTAGCAATATATTCAGAAACTATATTCATAACCGCTCTACCATAACAGCGACAAACACCTTCCCTGAAAATGTATGCCTTGCCCTAGCTAACTTGTGCCCAGCCAACCTAGCAATCCATTCATAACCGCTCTACTATAAGTATGACACACACCTGTCCTAGATAATTATGTATGAGCCTTACCCTGACACTCCCAAGATTTACCTTCAGACCCTTATCAAGCGTATTAGTGTTCACAAAATGCGCTTCATAAGACAGTGTGCATTATTTTTTTTTGCTAGGCCGTATGTAGTTTCGGGAAGAGTGTTATATGCCAACACCAATCATATCGACTGAGATATCGGGAAGATTAGTGTGACTGATGGTGGTATCATATCCTTCATGGAACTGTACAGGCCACATCAAAAAACAAGGAGTCGTCACGATGAGGCTGATACTTTCATATAAAGCAGGATTTCAGATGGCAATAAACCTGGTAACATCCAGTCAAAACAGAATCTCTCTTCATCTTTCTCAACAGGCCTGGGATGCATGCAGTAGCGGGGGGGGGGGGGGGGAGGGGCGCACCGCTGATTTTCAGATACCAGTGCACCCCATTCAATTTTGTATGAAAAGCCGGCCGATCTAAATATGCTCTCAGTGTGAGGGGAGGGGGCTGGATCCGTGCCTGGAACTATTGGTTGGCAACAACAGGATTGATGTCTCAAAATTTAGCAAAGTTTTTTGAAAGGAAACAGCCCGGTGTTACTGAAACACTGACTGGTCATTAAGCCCTGTCTAGCTTTGACTTAACGTCGCGTATATTCAAACGGACAAAGTCAAAAGCTTTCAAAGCATTGAGATGAACGCCAAACACATTTGCTTTATTCTTTTATTATTTATTAAGTCATGTTTAACCAGGTTGGTCTCATCAGTGGTCGAAACACTGTTCTCAGTACAAGAGGGCCCCGATTCATAGAGCTCAGATCCCTAAGAAGACATAGTGGAGGTGTAATAGCTCTCTTGCAAAATTGAAGGAAATAAATTATTCTTCTGTCATGCGCAAAAACACTCAAACACAGGAATAATTTCTTGGAAATAAGGCTGGAAATCAGCTCAGAACTACGTCGAACCATGCAGAGTGGCATTCAGGAACTGCAGTCCCAGAGTCTCTCACTGACCTAAAGATTCACATACCACACCTACGGAGGATGGTGACATTGTCGAGAACGAGGGGTCACACGACGTTTGTAGGGAGAAAAGTGATTGAGAGCAACTTCGGACTCAATGATGAAGAAGAAAAATGACGCTTAGCAAACTCAGTAATGATTATAAGCCCTTTTGACATAAGTGAATGTTATGTAAACATTATTTTATGGAATTTCAATATCAATTAAGATGGACATGCATGCATTTTTATATTTGCATACCTTGTCGATTTCCTGATAATGGTGAATGCGTCAGAGGTAATATGAGCTTAAAATGTTTCCATATTTCTTTATTTTATTCTTCCATTCGAATATTGACCGCCAATATGCGGTTCACAATCTCAGAAACATAGGAAAGTTATATGGGTGGTAGGGTAAAGTGGGGTTAGTGGGACAGTGGGGTAAGTGGGACAATTGGAGGATTTTTCTCTTTTTCTTGTATTAGGAGATAGAGTTAGTGGAGGGAACATTTTACAACGAAAAAACAAAATACCTAGCCACAAATTGGATGCCTCCTTGGAAAAATTTAATAAACATTAGAGGAACAAGCATAACAAATCTTCAACCTCTCAATATTTTATTCGAAAAATCCCCCCCTCCTTAGCTATTTTAGAAATAACAGAAAATAAATGACGATGTTTGGTGTCTGACTTTTATGAAAAAGAGTAGTTTGGTGACGTAATTGAATGATTGCAAATAAGGTATAAGTAGTTAGTTCAACAAAATATACAAGTATTTGCATATACATTTGTTAATATCCCCCTACATGGTTGTTGTATACCTACATTGTCCCATATACCCCCATCGTGTTGGGGTAAGTGGGACGCGCGTGCAATTCCAATGCGCATTCATGTATCAATCGCGGTATCGACTTTCCCAAGTTCTCTATACGTATTGCACGCTGTCCCACTTACCCCTACATGTTGGGGTAAGTGGGACAATGTAGTGGCCCTGAATAAACCGTCACCCTGACCTTGATTATGAAGATTATTTATCCAAAAGCTTGTCACAAATTTGTATCTATTTTAAGCTCTAATTAAGATGCTTGATTAATTATTTGAACGTTTGGTATTTTTATAAAATGCAATCAAAATCTTAAGTGTCCCACTTACCCCACTTTACCCTAATGGTTTTCCGCACGACTCTATAATGGAAGAAAATAAACAAATTTTATATACTCTATAACTGTAATAGGGTAAACTGGGGGAATATGGAGCCCTTAAGCACAAAATGAGAGTTTTGAACATGTAAAAAATATTCTTTTCACTTCTCTCTTTTACTGGTGGAAGAACTATTTATTCCTTACATAAAAACACATAAGTTAGAAAAAAAAACAATTGTCTTGTATAAATTAAAGACAACATAAACAAAAGTGTCACAGGATCCATATTACCCCAATGAACGGGGTAATATGGAGCCCACAAACAAATCTCCATATACCAAGATTTTATGAGCTGTTATAGTACAATTAATTTTGTCTCGCATACTATTTATGAATTTTCTTCAGTGACATGGGTTTTTTTTACTTTGATTCAATAATGTTATTCATGTAATAATAAATTATAATACTCCTGGTTGAAAAAAATTCCCCTCAATGCCAGGAAGGCATTATGTCACTGCAAAAACAAGATCAAAGTTTATGGTTGTGATTGCTAAATGTAATTTTGAATGGATTGTGTCCATTCATGTCTGGACATGTCATTAGGCATTATTAAACACCAATACATGGAATGAATCAAGATTAAGTGGCAGTTCCATACAGAAAAACATTAAAAAAACATGGCATTCATAGATCGTTTTTCTCGAAGCAAGCTTCTGCATGTGTGTCCCATGTGTGTACGTACGCTGTGGAATGTCAAGACATAATCCCATGCAAAAGCTGTTGATAAATCATTCACAAAATAAAACTGTAATATCTGAGGTATCAAAGTATTTACTGTTATGACTGTGGTGGTGGGGTATAGGGGGCAGAAATTAACCATGAGTATAGGCCTACATGTACATTGTACAAGAGGGAAACAAACTTGAAATCTTTAACATGTTGGTGATTTATATGGAAAGTTAAATGGGCCTGTCTTGTTATTGTTCATCCACACTACAACCACCTGGCCCCTTGATTAACATCATTAAAAGAAAAAGAGAAGCAATTAGTTAAGCTCTCTCAGTCAGAACAGTAATACTATACTTTAATAGAATATAATAGTTATAATGTTCATGATGATGAATGTATGCGATAAGGGCGGAATGAACGGACAATAAAGGGGAGAGAGGAGAGAAGAGGGAATTGCAGGGGTAGAAAGAGAGAGAGAGAGAGAGAGAGAGAGAGAGAGAGAGGGGATGAGAAATAATGGGGAAGAGAGGAGTGGAGGGGGAGTTATACATCGACAGTGAAAAAGATAGGCTATAGATAGCTATTGGCAGCAGTAGATAAATATGAATATTGTGATAAACAATGATAATATTATTAATAATAATAGTGGCTGCATATGCAACCCAAATGAATGCTCTGCACCTACAAAGTATCACTATTCCCCTGGATATAGGCAATCTGCCTTAGGCTAATTACCCACTGAAGATATTCACGGAATTATTTCCAACCCGGTCACAGGCCTATTCATGTTAAAAACTGATATTTCAAATGATGAATGGTAGTTGAATTAAATAAAGGTATAAAAGAATACAATCTGCAGATGAAAACAATGCATTTTAATATTAGTTTTGTATAAATAAGCTAAGTTTAAAGCATGAAAGTACAATAATCATATGTAACGGTCGGTGAGGGCGCTGTTTATCAGGGACGCAAATAATGAATTTTAAGCCAGAAATTTATTTAACATGCTTTCATGCTCTTGAAAGCGAAAGACTTACTGCATATTCATGTCAAGTTTAAGAGCAAACGGTGAAAACAATCGGAATTGAGAAGAACTTCAAATATTCAAAGCCAAAACTGACATAAAAACAGAAAAAAGTACCGCATTTCGGTGACATCGCCCCCCGCATCGCCCTCGATTTCTATCATCGTAATCGTCGCTCTCAGATGTGCTATCACCGGGAAAAGTTATTGCGTTATCTGGTATACTCTAGGCAAGTCAAACGTTAAACAAAAATCACAAAATTAGCACTTAAATGAGCGAGGGGACGTGTTATGTGTGATGGTGCAAGATACACAGTTCAACCTCCGGTAGTGACGTCACACATTGGGTGATTTTGTCGGGAAAATTAACCCACAGAATTCTGTGGGAAAACCCCGGTTAACCCGGCAGCAATTCATTTTCGTGAGGCCCAGGGTCCATCCTATCGACCTACGAGGTCAGTTGTTCCGGCGCTTTTCACTTGAATAAATCTTCCGGGCTCCCGGTCTATAATTACTCTCAAACGCCTTCTTCCATTTCCAAAACTTCTCCCTCAAACCTTCCATTTTCTCACTTATCAAAAATCATCAGCATAATATACAACATCTCGCTAACCAAACCTTCTCTTGCACTCTCCGCAACCACATCAATCACACAAAAAATATATATATATCAGGTTACTTCTATGTACCGGGCGGCACTCATTACACCCCCCCCCCCGGTAATTCTGATGTCCTTTTAGGATTGATTTAGAAACCAGGCGCCACAGTACTCCCAAAATAATGGAAATGTACGACTGAGAGAACCTTATTATGAATACGTAGGGCCTACTCAGTCGTACATTACCATTGTATTGGGAATACTACGGTCAGTTTCAGTACAACCATTGAGTCGCAATGTATGGCAACCTATTTATTTTTTGTATTTATTTTGTTTCCTTGTTTTTTCAATAATGAAAATATTAACATTTTGTTTACATTAACAAAGCACATCACTGCAATATAGAAAAATCTGATCAGGCTAACCGTCTTGTATGTTTAATGTTCCAGGACATAATACAATTTACAACAAGAATTCTGTTTTGTGATATCACTAATTCAAATTTGTAATATCAAGAATTCAGTGTGAATTCCAACATTACTGCACATCACTGCAATGTAGACAAATCTGACTAGTTAGGTTAACAGTCTTGTATGTTTAATGTTCCAGAACATAATACAATTCACAACAAGAATTATGTTTTGTGATATCACAGATTCAATTTGTGATATCACTAATTCAAATTTGTAATTTCAATAATTCACTGTGAATTCCAACATTATTTTTGCGCAGAAATTCAACAATAACAATGTTATGACCTCATAGAAGGCACCAATCCTGCCCAAGCAGCAGGAAAAAGATGTTACTTAGGTGGTGTGATTCGGCATGGTTGCAAATTCAAATTACAAAGAGTCAACCCCCTAATCCAGTACGTGCTTCTCACCCTTTCTTAACTCAAGGCCCACTTTGCCACTTATTAATTTGACAGTAAAGCTGAACTCAAGCTGGTTCATTTTTATTCTAAAACAATGTTTTGGCCATCCTCATGGCCCACTGGTTGAGAAGCGCTGCTCAGTTTAACACTGGCGAAGATTCGAGCAGTGAACCTATTGTTCAGGGGGGGGGGGTGATCTACTTGAATAGTGTGACGTCACATATCTACGCCCTGCCCGCTGCTCTAATCCATGCTGTTGAGTTTATTACCATAGCCCTCATATCTCAAGGTTTGTTCAGATATGGCGCAACAAACCCAAACAATTTTAATGTACAAGTCAATGGAATATAAGGCGACCAAAAAAAAAAAAAAAAAATGTTGGCGAGGCAGGAGACAATTTGTTGCCGCCTGACTTCAAAAAGCTTTGGAACAAATAAATTCCTAAAAAGTAAATGCAAAATGATGTCATGAGTTTGTCTGCAAATTTTTTGACAAAGATCCCTTTTATTTGTGATTTAATTCAGGTTCATTAACATAAGTGTGGGGGTTTGTTGCGCTGTATCTATAAACACTTACAATACTGAAGGAATTTTACACATCCTATCCAACAAGCCCTAAAGGCCACCGCACACCTTACGACTGGTCTACGACTGGATTTTGAAAGAAATTATGATAGGATTAGATATAGAATGTTTAGAATGTAAATTCCTACTGATTGAGGTCCCGAATTGTCATGTCAATATCAATATAAAAATTGCAGGGTGTTATGGCCTTTTCAGTTGGAGAAAAGGCCCGATCGGCTGCGAATCGTAGCGACGTCACACAGGCACGACTGGCCACCAACTGGTAACTGGGAGATTTGGCCTTTTCTCTGTCTGAAATACTTCAAATACCATATATTTTCGATAATTATATTGATATAACCATTCTGGACCTCAGTCAGATACAAATTTTCAAATTGAAACTCAATTTCTCTTCAAATTGCAATTTCTTTCAAAATCCAGTCGTAGACCAGTCGTAAGGTGTGCGGTGGCCTTACTCCTAAAGCAACATATGAGACTCCACAGTAAAAATGTCACTTTTCGCTATTCCAGTTATTAATACAGGCATATCATTTCATTTGTCACAGTGTTTATTACAGACCCATGATTGTACTTGTGGACCTACACTGCTTACAACCAGGCCTGCTTACAACTTCCCAATTTTACTGTCTCAGAAACCTGCATCCAAAACTACGTGAAAATTTGCTGTCACACACCAAATTTCAATATCCATAGGATTGCTAAGTGTTCTATGAATGCACAAAAATACATTAATTGATGCAAACCACAATAATTTTCCAATTGAGTCACCAGTTTGATAATTTTCTTGGTGCTATGCAGTTATAAACAATTAAAAATATCTTGTTCTTCATGTAAGGAAAGATAGATAAATAAATAAAATCATAGCAGCAAGCCCAAATGACGATGCATTTACAGATACAGATATTCAAATTGAAGAAATTAACAAAAATATACGAAATAAGTAATATAATTAAATTGGTGTGTCATATAGAATATCAAAAAGATCTTTAAACAAGAGCACCGCAAGTCGGAGCATTATACGCCCGAAGTTTCACCTTTATGCACATCTACACATCAATATCATCCAACCATGCAAGTTTGAGGAAATTTCATTACAAAGTAAATGAGTTATCCACACAAGAATTTTTCAATATTTTTTTAGTAAAATGTGGTTACCATGGCAATGCCTTGTCGTACCCAAGTTATATCACCTTTATGCACATCTACACATCAATATCATCCATCCATGCAAATTTGAAGAAATTTAATTAAAAAGTAAATGAGGAATTATCCGCACAAGAATTTTTCAATTTTTTAGTAAAATGTGGTTACCATGGCAACGCCTTGGCGTACCCAAGTTATATCATCTTTACGCACATCTACACATCAATATCATCCATCCATGCAAGTTTGAAGAAATTTCGTTAAACAATGAATGAGGAGTTATCTACACAAGAATTGGCTAACGGACGGACGGACGGACGTCATACCATAATACGACCCTTCGGCGTATAAAAAGTGTATGTGAAATAATGGTTTATTGGTGTGCTGTTGTAGCACTTACAGTATGTATGTTTTGGACAGTAAAATTACTCAATATTTTAGTTTCAATAAACCAATGATCGTTTTCTTTAAATTGCGTATATTGCATCAGAAATTTATTAACACCATGTATAGTGAATCAAAACATAAACATACACAGTGTAACAACAAAAGTGATAATGAGCATGCATTGGTGTATCCTATACACTGTGAGTAAAAAAAAAGGAACCTAACTTTAGTAGCTTCTTATAAAAATATTATAACATATGAAACCTTGAGATGTATCTAATTGTAAAGAATAACCTTCACTCTGTCTACCGATACCTCATTTATGATGTTTCTGTCACGGATGACTGAGCACTAAGATTTTCAATTTTTGGGGGGTCAAAATCGCCTTGTACCAAGTTTGACCTTAAGCAATGGGTGTGTGTCAAAGGCTTCTAATCACATGTTACTTTGTCTGAAATCGTTTTTAAATGATAAAATATGTTTTGTGTTTCAATTATTCAGAGTTAAGTGATTTTAAGTATCTAGACTTTCACAGGGATTTTATTTTAGGTTTCATTGGCTGTGGATGCACTTTGAACTGCCTACAAACCTCTTATCTTAGAATGTTATCTTGCCACAAAACCATCTGTTTATTGGTCGATTGCACCAACTTAGCTGAATAAGTTATCTAGCTCACAATCTACATTAAATTAATAGTTAACTAACCTAAAAGACTAAAAAAATACAAGGAAGGCCTGTTTAGAACACATATGCTAGTGTTTTGAACTGTGTTTTTACTTCATTTGAAAGAAAGCTTCTTCACTACCAACATTCTGAAGCTGACACACTCAATAAAGAAACTCTTACATACGAGGAATGTTGAGGAAACCAAGATTGTGTCTTAATGACAACAAAGATATCTTAAATATTGCTTGTAATAAGGATATTCTTTCATTTAAAGTTCAAATCAACACCTTTTCTAGTCAAATACACAAAATCAATTTAAAAAGCTTAGCCATTATTTCAAGACTCCAATAACAAATCCATAGTAGCTTTTGACGCACACGTATTGCTTAAGCCCAAACTTGATACAAGGCGATTTTGACAAAGCTTTTTGAAACTCCTGGTGCTCAGTCATCCGTGGCAGGAAAAGTATGAATAAGGTATCAGTAGACAGTAAAGTTACTCTTTACAATGAAATAAATTGCAAGGTTCCATATATGTTATAATATTATCATAAGAAGCTACCGAAGTTGGGTTTCCTTCTTTTTTTTACTCACACTGTATAGGAGAATTAAAAAACAATGTGTGAAGAAGTGGGTAATGGAAGTGCTGTTAAAACATACAGTAGGTATGTTTGATTACATGGAAAAGCTGTTATTTTAAATACGTATATTAATACATATTTTGAGTGGCACTATGCATAGTGGATTGAAACATAAACATAAATAATCGAATGGATAAATCAATATACATGTATAAATCATTAATATTAGTTATGATCATTATATTGGTGTGCCCTATTAAAAACAGATGATTTTAAAAAAATTGTAATTTTCACCTGTAGCAAGTGGATAAAATTTGGTAATTGGGCATGTTTTGTGACATCATTCTTACATCATACAATGGAAAGGGGGGGGGGGGCATACCGAAACTATGTACTGGCAAACATATCAGGGCTTATACCTTTCAAGGGCCTCCTCCCCTCTTGGTACACATCAATACTAAAATGTTTTGGTCAGACCGGAGTTAGCCTGAATTCATGATAAATACTCTTGCAGTGCTAAAACACAACAGACAATGTATGTATACATAAATTTGAAGAACATACTGAAAGATCAATCTAAAATGCCAGCAAACTCCAAATCACTCATTGGGAGTTGAAAACGCTTCAATTTCATATGTGAAGACCCTATGGAGGTATACATGTAGGGGCAGCTAAAGAGACACACAGGCATATATAGTTAGAAAAAAAAACGAGAAATTAATGAAAAGGAGAGAGATGGTTACGCTTAATACTAGGGCCTATTCCTATTGGGCCTAAACTCATTAAAATTATAGTCTACTACATGAAGGAAAGAGAAGAAATGCCAAGAATCTGAGACTTCCCATAACATGACTCTTCTGCAACAGAAAATATCAATCAGTTTGAGGGCTAGTAGTGTAAGCTATATTGTGTGTATACCATAAGCCCGCCCGTGCGCACGGTGCGGTGCATCAGCGCCAAGGGTTACAACATGGTGCCTGTTATCAAGTTGGCCAAACTCTGTGTATAAAGGGCTCTGGAGTGCACTGACAGAAAGTTCTTATGTGGGTGAAACAGGAAGAACACTGAATGACCGATTAAAAGAACACAAAAGGGCCCTCAGATTAAACAATCCAACCCACTCAGCAGTGGCCGGAACACGCCCTCAATACTGGACATAACATTCGCTGGGATGATACACAGATCATAGACTTTGAATCTTATTTCTGGCCAAGGAAGGTCAAAGAGTCTATCTAGATAAAAAGCATTAATCCAGCACTCAATAGGGACACTGGGTACGCATTGTCACCTATCTTCGCTCCAGTGATCGCCAAGACAGCAACTGTGTGACAAATCAGTTGACATGAGGAAGTCTGCAGGAGCAGACGAAAGCTCGCCCCAATCATTTTTAAGTTTGGTAGAAGCGAAATACTTGTATATCAAGAAATCGCTGTGTGTGGCAAACTAAAGAATGAAAAAGTTCACCCGGTGCATTAGAGAATAATTTCCTACTGGTTGCTTTCCATTTTTTTTACCAAGCGATCTCTTTTTGATTTTTCATTCATGACCTTGCTTCTGATGACTTTGAAGTTTCTAATCTTGAAATCAGGATATGCTGCCAAGAACTGGTGAACCTCTCTCTTACCTACAAAAGAAAATGAAAGGGAAAACACATGAAAAAGCATTGAGCAATGTAAACAAAAATAACTAGATTTAAAAAAAACAGAGCGATGATGATGAAACAAAGTTTGATTTTTTGTCCTCTCTAAAGCACAAAATAATTATAATGTACTTCTTTTTTGTTCCAGCAATTTCTAGTCTGTGTATTTCAAAAATGAAACCACTGAAAATATTTCTTCTGGCTCTTCTTGAAATTACACACACAAGGCATGAAAGGCAGTTTGACCACCCTTTGACATTGGATATCCTTAACGATCCTTCTCACAGGCTTTTACCAAAGACTTGGGTCACGTCGCACTCGAAAACACCTGTGTTTTGGCTTGTGCAGCTAATTTTTTTGTAATGGTGTCTGCAATGGGCCAAACACGCTGGGAAAAAAATCTTAATTTAAATTATCAACTGCTCTTAACCATTTTTTTTATGGCTGTCTTCAAAGGGGGCCGTGCGAGGGGAAATTTGTTTTAAAAAGAAGTTAAAGTTGCGATTGTTTTGTTTTTGTCAATGATGAAAAGAAAGAAGACAAGAACTAAGGCTGACATAATACAGAACAAGGCGGTTCACGAACCACGAGTCTCGCCCGATTTCGTGGTCAATAGAACGTGGAAAATTTTACCCCCCAAAAAAGGATTTTAAACAATTAGCATTTTGAGCCCTAGATTCCTTTGACCCCATCCTCCTACAGATCTGCTTACATACATGTACAACTTGACACTCAAACTGCATATACATGTATGTATGCATTTGAATAAATTTGCATAAATTAACCTAATTAATGAATTTCAAAATTCTGTGTACAACTTTTCAACCCTGCACCTAGCCCTATGAGATAAAACAATCAGAATCAAAATCGGTCGAGAAATGAGGGAGAAGAAGCATGTTTTGTGAATTATGAATAAATTTACATAAGCTATAATTACTGGAGTAAAATTTCAAAATTATGTGTACAAGTTTTGTGTAGCCAACGAAGCTCTACCAAATAAAACAATTATAATGAGAATTAGGTCAAGAAATGAAGAAGCATTTTTTGTGAATTTGAATAAATTTGCATAAATTAACATAATTAATGAATTTCAAAATTCTGTGTAGAAGTTTTGAACCCTGCACCTAGCCCTATGAGATAAAACAATCAGAATCAAAATCGGTCGAGAAATGAGGGAGAAGCATTTTTTGTGAATTATGAATAAATTTACATAAATTATGATATTTAATGAATGGAGTAAAATTTCACAATTCTGTGTACAAGTTTTGTGTAGCCATCTAAGCTCTATCAATTAAAACAATCAGATTCAAAATCGGTCAAGAAATGAAGGAGAAGAAGCATTTTTTGTGAATTTGAATAAATTTACGTAAATTAGCATAATTAATGAATTTCAAAATTCTGTGTAGAATTTTTGAACCCCGCACCTAGCCCTATGAGATAAAACAATCAGAATCAAAATCGGTCCAGAAATGAGGGAGAAGAAGCCTAATTTAACATTTTGTACACACACAGACACACAGACAGACAGACACACAGACACACGTACGGAGCCCGTTTCATAGTTTCAAAATGTGTAAAAAAATTGTGTATAAAGCCAATGAAAATTTGTCCAGGTTGTGACATCAAGGAGTTGCCAATTTAAGAGTATGACAATAAGTTGAAGTTGTACATGAAAAAGTTCATTGACCCTTGACTATAATGGACTTCAGAAAAGGATAATATTCTTTACATAACATTCATATGAAACTATAACACTACTGAGCTCTCCTACCTGAAGTTATGGAAGAAACCAAAACTTCAACATTTCCATAATGTCTGTACAGTACATACAGTATATGTACAGTATATATTGTGTATACAGGACACTGGCCTGAAACTTTAACCAAAACTTTAACTAAGTTTAAAAGATTATAAAATCCCTATTCCTTGACAAAACGCAGAGCATGGGGGTGCATATGAAAGAGGACACTCTACTGAATCATTTGAATTAGGTTTCAAGACAATTGGTCACAGGGTATTGGAATTATAGACATCTGAACTTAACCATGCAAACTTTAACCTGCAACAGACACTGGCCTGAAACTTTAATCAAAACTTAACCAAGTCTAAAAGGTTATAAAATCCCTATTCCTGGACGAAACACAGAGTATGGGGATGCATATACAAGAGAACACTCTACCAAATCATTTGAATCCAGTTTCAAGACCATTGGTTGCACGGTATTGGAATTCAAGCCATAGGAATTTGACCAATCAAACTTAAACCTGAAATGTTGACAACGCCGCCGTCGCCGCCGCCGGAAATAGTGACGCCTATGGTCTCGCTTCTGCTTCGCTTTTTAAAGGATTTTCTAGACTGACATATGAAAATAAAATGAGGAATGAAACTTAAAGGTATTGCGCAGTGTTGGTAAAAGACGAAGGGGTAAAAAAATAGATTTCCTTCACTTTCTTATTTTTTGATACACTTATGAGGGTAGAACACAACTCCGTAAAAGTTCACTCTGAAATGCCTCCATTTTCGAGAAATCACATGTTTAGTGTTGATTTTTGGGATTTATCGGGTACCCGATGAATACGGCTAATTCGCTTGATGCTGAATATCTCACGGATAAAAGTGTTTCTGATCTTACAAATCACAGGTAAGGTTCTTTTTATGTTGATACATCTCAAAATAAAGAAAAGTTGGGAATTTTTGAAGGAGAACACTGTTTTTAAAGGGGAAAACAGATTTGTCTGGCCGGACAGATATCGTCGAATGTACTTGTCCTTTTACAGCTTCCAAGGCTATTTGAAGAAAATTGATAATCGATTTGGTCTTAGATCATCTAGATGCACCAAGAAAAACACATTTAATCAAAATCCGTGACCTTGGCCAACACTGTGTATTACTTTTAATAGGTTGGCAATTACTAGGAATGATGGAAATATAGAAAGAGAAGATAAATTATGGAAAACAAAGAAAAACTTATAAAAGAAAAAAGGAAAAGAGAGAAATCCAGACACAAAGAGTACTACAAGACGAATGGAAAATTGCAATGATTGAAGATAAACAAAAAAAGAAATATGCATTGCCAAAAGAAAGAGTGATGGGAAAACAAAGGAATACATCAAGAAAGGGACGATAAAATGAAGGACAACCAAGAAATTACATCAAGCAAGCATTTATGATGGGAAAACAAAGAAATACATCATCAAAATGAAGATGATGGATTGAAGGAAAAACAAATCACTCTATCCTCTTCCTTTCATCAATGTAATTCTTTATTTTTTCTCCAATCAGTGCAATTTTCCATTAGGCCTATAATATTCTCTGTGTCTGTAATTCTCTCTTTTTATTTTTTCATCTTTAAGTTATTCTTTGTTTCCCAATTCGGCCAACTTGAAATTCCAATATGTATAGTGCTAACAACTTTCAAAAATGTATAACTTTCTTATTGTTTGTCCGATTTTGTTCAAACTTTCACCAATCTGCTTCTCTGAAATTTCTTTTTTGTTTTAGAACTTGCCATATGGGTTGGATTCCCCTTTAAATGACTGTAGACCACTATCCTTGATGTTGCAACCATATAGATATGCATTAGAGTCAAATAATTCTCTAAGGCTTTGCAGTTAAATGAAAACAAGATGGTTCTCGAACCACGAGTCTCGCCCGATTTCGTGGTCAATAAAACGTGGAAAATTTCACCCCCAAAAAAGGATTTTGAACAATTAGCATTTTGAGACCTAGATGCCTTCTAAAGACCCCATCCTCCTACAGATCTGCTTACATACATGTACAACTTGACACTCAAACTGCATATATATGCATATTCATGCGCATGTACATGTAAATGCATGCAAGTACATTGCATATATATGCACATGTATGCATATTTATGCATAATTATGCATAAAGTTGTATGTAAGCATATCTGTATGCACCATATATGTTCCTATACCCAAGGGTCATTAATTACCACCAAGTTTGATCCAAATTGATGGCAGACTTTACAAATGAGCAATTAAAAGTTGTCCAGGTTGTGACATCAAGGAGTTGCCTATTTAAGAGTTTAATAAGTTAAAGTTGTACATGAAAATGCTGAAGTTCATTGACCCTTGACCTTTGACCTTTAACAGTGGTTACCTCACAGTCTTAACTGCAGACTGCAAAAGGGTAACCATCCTACAAAACATTGTCACCAGTAAATAATCCTAGTTGAAGTTGTACATGAAAATGCAAACATTATGCAAAGTTCATTGACCTTTGACCTTTAACTCTAATGGACTTCAGAAAAGGGTAATATTGTTTACACATAACATTCATATGAAACTATAACACTACTGAAATTTCCTACCTGAAGTTATGGAAGAAACCAAAACTTCAACATTTCCATAATGTCTGTCCAGTACATACAGTACACAGTATATGTACAGTATGTATATTGTGTATACACGACACTCCTGAAACTTTAACCAAAACTTTAACTATGTTTAAAAGATTATAAAATTCCTATTCCTTGACAAAACGCAGAGCATGGGGGTGCATATGAAAGAAGACACTCTACTGAATCATTTAAATTAGGTTTCAAGACAATTGGTCACACGGTATTGAAATTATAGACATCTGAACTTAACCATGCAAACTTTAACCTGCAACAGACACTGGCCTGAAACTTTAACCAAAACTTAACCAAGTTTAAATGGTTATAAAATCCCTATTCCTGGACGAAACACAGAGTATGGGGATGGATATGAAAGAGAACACTCTACCGAATCATTTGAATCCAGTTTCAAGACCATTGGTGGCACGGTATTGGAATTCAAGCCATAGGAATTTGACCAAGCAAACTTTAACCTGAAATGTTGACAACGCCGCCGTCGCCGGAAATAGCGACGCCTATGTCCCGCATCTGCTTCGCAGGCGAGACAAAAATCAGGAACAAGAGGTCAAACTACTCATTTACATCATAAGCATTTTATGTTTTACAATTGCAAGGGTTCTAA